CAGTGCCCATGCGCAGCTTCAGGACCTGCTTCAACACTACACCGAGTTTCCCCTCAGCCCCTATGGGGAGACGCTCACCCAGCCCCTTGCCCGCCAGGTGAGCCCTTACCCTAAACCCACAACTGAGGCCAATGTTGTCGTTGCCGCCCCCTCCAGGATCACAGTCAGGTCCAGGCTACTGGCATCTGCCTTTCTCATCCCAACCCATGACCGGGCACACTTGCCTACCCACGCCTCTTCCAGAAAGGCCCATGACCAGACCAGCAGGGCAAAGGGAGGCAAGCGAGGCAATCAGGTTAAATTAAGCTAGGTTTACTGAGTCTCCGGAGCGAGGGTGAGGAGGAGAGGTCCTGTCAACAGAACTATGGCCATGACAAGTGGGCACCTCACTCATAAACCTTACTTACCGTAGCAACGACAGACAGTCCAATGATGGCGTCAAGTGCAGAGACTGTGGCAGAAGCCAGGGGATGCAAGGCCCACCACTTCGCTTGGCAGGAATTGTCAAGGGGCCCCCACCTTCAAAAAGTGCGGGTGCCTCTGACCACTGAGTGTTAGGAGTGGCTCCAAACACTGAGGAAATAAACAGTGACCCAAAGCTATCCTGGGCTTCACCAGGCAGCCATTCTAGGACAAGACTGACTCCATGAGCAACACAGAGCACAAACCGATCGCAGAAGCAGTGAGGGTTAGGAAGAGGGCCACGCGGCGAACGGAGAGTCCCAGGGTTGGCACTGTCTCACACAGGGGCAGCAGAGAAGCTGGGGACATCGAAACAGAGACCTGAATGAGTGGAAGAGGGAGGTTTGAAGGCAGCTGGAGGCAGAGCATTTGGAGCGAAAGTAACAGCCACAGAGGCCCCGGAGTGGGAGGTTGTTTGAGGTGTTGGAGAATGATGAGCAGTGAGGGAAATGCCGGGGGTGGATCAGGGTGGCTGATGGACGGAGAGCCGGAAACGGGGTCAGAAGAGTGGGGTAAAGGGCCTGCCGCTCTTCCAAGGGTCTGAGGTGCTATTCCAGGTCGGATTACACTGGGCAGTTAGAAGCAAAGGCCTGACCAGACAAGTTCATGAGGGCCAGGCAGGGCCGCTGGAGAGGGAGCCGGCTGCGGTATTTCAGAAGGTGAGGGGGTGGGCTAGTGCAGGGGAGCAGCCTGCTCCTCCAAAAGGGCCTGCTGGCTGGTGAGAAGGTGGAGCTGACAGCGTCTTTGCAGAACTAGATGAGGAAGCAGGGAGATGCTGGGATGAAAATGAGAAGAGGAGCATGTCTTACCCAGAGAGAAACGTGTGTCAAGTAGGAGGCTGGGGGTCGGGGTGTAGCTAGAGGGCCTTGTCTGGCTCCGGGCCCTGGGTTCAATCCCCAGATCCACAGGAGAAAAGCAACTGGAGGCCACAGAGCTGGATCCAGTCTGGGACAAAGGTCAGAATGGGAACTGGGCCCAACACTAACCGAGCTTGAAGGTGTGGGTCCTTCTAGAGCAGGAAGCCTGTGTGTGGATGGAGAGACGGACAAAGAGGCTGCAGAGAGTGGAAGGATTCCGTGCGGGGTGGCGGGTGGCGGGGGGAGTCACGCACCTAACGACGGTGCTGTGTGAGAGCCTGGAGAAGATGTGCAGAAGTGAGAGACCGGCAGTGGGCAGAGCTGACCTTCGGTTGGGTTTGAGGTCGGAGGCGGTGAGGAACTGAGGCTGATTTTCCTGCCGATTGGGCAGCAGGGTGAATATACGGCTTCCTGGGGGACGGGCAGGGAAGTACAGGATGAACACCAGGAGGAAGAGTGCTCATTTGGATCTAGAAAGCCTTGAGTGGATTGTAGGAGCCTGAGGATGGCTGTGGCATCCGGAAGCAGGGGGCACATGGAACCCTTCATAAGGCTAGCCTTAATGCTGAACTAAAAGCTTAACTACTCAGGGGTAGTTACCAGGGAGTAACTACCTAGGTAGGAGTAGTTACCAGGGAATAACTACCTAGGGGTAGTTACCAGGGAAGGCTCATCTCTCCCGAGGTGGTCTCTGCCCCTACACATTTAGTTTCTGTCTTCACATATTAACTTCTTGAGCCTGAAGAAATAAGGCCCAGATGTCATGGAGGTCTGTCCCCCATAAAGATTCTTTTGAAGGTAAATTCTCCTAAAGCCTCCTGTTTCTGCAGCCACGAGCATAAAGACTGTCTGGGCCCTGTATTCTAGATGAAGTTCAGTGCTCGGCCCGCCTGTGACCAGAGTTCACTTCCATCCACAGTCCGCAGGGCTCCTCAACACCTTCTCTCCTCTTCCTCACACAGAGAACTTGACCCACGCCACACTTCTCTCCTCTTCCTCACACAGAGAACTTGACCCACGCCACACTTCTCTCTTCAGTTCTCCCTGCCTCGCAGCCCTGTCTTTCCTCCACTGCCCGTCATCCCCACCCCACCTCAGTCCTTCAGACCTCCTTCTCTCCCTGCAGACGGCCCAGCCGGCTGGACTTTCCCTGAGGACCGAATCAGACTCTGGAAGCAAAAGACAGGACGATCCAGACAGCCAGAGCAGCCTGCTCATCCAACAGGGGCAGGCCCAGGCCCCAGCACACAAAGAGGAAGTGTGGGCCTCCCAAGCCAAGGAGGTACGAGATGAGATGAGTGGGGACCAGCCTCTGGAGAGGGGACCAGCCTCTGGAGAGGGGGTCAGCCTCTGGAGAGGAGAGGGGATCAGCCTCTGGAGAGGGGATCAGCCTCTGGAGAGGGGATCAGCCTCTGGAGAGGGGACCAGCCTCTGGAGAGGGGACCAGCCTCTGGAGAGGGG